CTTACTGCTGTTCAACTCTGCCGTTTACTGTCGTTTGATGGAACGACATCAGGGATTTCAGATATCTCTGAACATAGGGATTACTAAATTAGAATTCGCGGATGGTATTGTTTTCTTTGATGAGGACATGCACAGCCTCCAAATAATAGTTGACCGCATCAGTCGACAGGCCTCAGAGATCGGCCTAGATGTGAAGACATCAAAAACCAAAACGTTTCTGATAGTCCCAATTCATCCTGAAAATGCTTTTCTACTAAACGGTGGTCCGATCGAAAGCTTTAACTACCTAGGCTCTGGCATACTCCTCAACAACCAATCGAAAGACGAGGTACAAGGGAGCGCCGATGCTGCAAGAAAGGCGTTTCTAAAGCTAAGGAATTCCCTTTGGTGCAGAAATTAAATCAGTTTGAGGACAAAAATATGAGTTCTCTCTGCAGCAGTCCGTCCTGCCGCGCTATACGTCTGTGAAACCTGGCCACTTAGAGTCGAAGAATGTCGCCGATTAGAACTCCTCGATCACTGGCTCCTAATAATCCTTCTGGGAGTACGATGGAGGGATCGGCTCTCAAACGAAGCGGTCAGAAACCAGACAATAATATAACGACGGCGATTACAATGGTTTAACCATATACTTCGTAAGTCTGATTACGACCTGACCAAATCGGCCTTGGCCCCGCCTCCCTGCCCGAACTGGCGCTGTTGACAAGGTGGGCAACTGAAAACCTGGCTAGGCACAGTACGCAAGAATACAGAAAAAATTGTTATCCGCTCCGTTTAAGACAATCGCCAATGAAAGTCAAACTGGATCCGGCCGCAAATCACCGATCGTGGGCAGCGGTAATTCAGGATCTCCATGAAACCAGCTTATCCTCTCCCAGAGCCAGTCGCCATAAAGTAAGTAAGTATTATTCCGCCACCACATAGCATAGCAACTAAAAACAACAACAAAAAACGCGAGCAAGGAGCCCGTGTGATGGTGACAAACAGCAAGTCAGACAAATCACACACGTGATCACATGATGTAGTGCTTCACAAATTATGGGAAATGTATTCATTAACCGGATTCGGAAGCAAAACAAAGCAGCTGTGTGGAACTCACCTTTCGTGAGACACCATTGATGTTCAGGCGAACCATATACATCCCACAGGGATTGTAAACTGCACCCCCGTTTCGTTGTGGATAAATGATGCTGTAATAAGATGCGATAGTGTGGGTAAAACTAGTTATCTCCACCTGATGCAAACATCAAAGTTTAAATGTGATCATAAAACAGAGAAAATCAGAAGACAATAACAAGAACGGGGAAGCACAAATCAGTCCATATATGGAACTGTATAAACTATGAAAACATCGGATTTGATCAGACTGAAACTATTTTACACAGATTTGTTTAGTTTCGAAATTCACCCTAGGGGATTCAGTGATAATAAATGTCCACAAAATGGGAACATGTAGCCTATTTTGAGACAGAAGACAAGAGTGGATCGTGGAGCCTAGTGCGGGCATTTTCACATAGACCACAAAAAACGCAGGCAGAGTTATTCCGAATCTCTGGCTGAAAGTCACTCCAAGTAGACGACAGGAAAGCCCATTCTGTCTGGGATTTTGATTACATTGGCACGCAATTTTGTAGCATCGTTCACCTTACAAACACACATACACAGATACGTCGGACTTAAATAGAATTGGGAATAGCACAGAGGAACAATACAGACCAATCGGAAAGATACACTGAGTCCCAATGGAAGATACCGTCTGATCTGGATCGAAATGTTGAAACCCCAGAATCAGGAAGGATAAACGACGTGATCTAAAAGCAGTAATATCAACGCATTTTCTCCACAGACGACTCATTTGTAGAACGCTATGGATGGAGGTATAGTAATGCCCAGACCAGATAGTGTGTTAGAATGCGGTGTTGAAGGAAGACCAGTAGCACAAGCACAACGTTCGGGAAAAATATTCAAATCGATTGAAAATGTTCAATCAGATTTGTTGAACAAGTCATGCACATATGTAAGCATCATTAGAGAAGTGAGGACTTTATCACAGAAAGACCACGGAGCTAGGCGGAAAGAGTCACAAACTGTTCAGTTAAGTGAATCACCTTAAACAGGACTTGACGACTACATTTGAGGGACTAAAACCTTGAGACATACGGGTGAAGCAGGTTTATCTGTTTGTTTCACTAAATGAAGCGTAAACTGCATTCCGTTAATGTGTAATCAAATCACGGACAGTTTTGTTGCGTGTCATTCATGAACTGAATCATAATCAATGAGATCGAGTGTACCGATGACTCATATCAACAAAACTGTGGTAGCGCACACCACCACCAATACCACAACGACGAGGACACAGAAACAAGGTTCACACAAAATAAACTATCCGATTTGCAAATCAAATAACTGTACTCAGACATTCACTTCCAACTGATGGAAAAACCGCATTCCACTTCGTAAGGGGTAGATAGACGGCATATATGCAGTCACACAAAGCGGTTTACATTGAGTATAGTCATCTATAAAGCATGTGCCTGTTTGTAGGTTAAGGAATTTCGTAGCTTACTTGGTGATGAGACGTTTTTTGAATCGACGTTCATATTGCGCTGCAATAGCCATGGACGCAACAAACGAGCAGTCCGTGACGACCGTTTGCCGAATGGAGAAACATGAGATGGCCATAATCATTTCGGGATTTTCCAAATAGTCAGACGGGCGTACCCAACGATCCAGTTGCCGTTTCTGTTTTTCGGACAGAATCAAGAAACCATCTTTGTCCCTGTGTGCCAGAACGTGGGGGTGTGAAAGAAACAGACCGCGAGGAACAATATTAATGGAGCACACGGTGGGCATTATTTATTTTCTTTGTCAGCCAGTAAGTAAAGGGGGTTAGAGTACGGGTATGGATTACGAGTTAAAGAACAGAAATGAGAACAAAAAAGGGAAACATGCGCGGAAATACGAATGGCCATGTAACTTAGTCAGGATCCCAACATTAGTGTTTCTAATCGGATTTAGAGGAAACTACATGAACCTTAGCAACATGAAGTGGCGCGCACTTCGATTGGCTGCGCTACATTTTCTCTTTCTCGGAATTATTTTGTTTTCGTGAATACCACATAATGACCACTCGGAAGGTCTATTCGCGGTCTCGGTTAATGAGTTTCAAACATGATCATCTCAATACTGTGTCTTTCATGTCCTTGTCGGATCACTTTCGACTCCTACTAAAATGAAGAAACACAAGCGCGGTGACTGGCGAGCAGCGTTTAGTCCCACACCACCATCGAAAATGACTGACTGAACATCCGGTCCCTCTTCGCAAAGATGACGGATCTAACCTGCACCCGTGATTCACGCATTCACCGTAATACGTGTGTTGTTTGTATCCAAGAATCCTGGCTTGACCATAATGTCGAGGAATCAATGGTTTTAAATGCTTCCGTAAGGATAGGAAGCACTGTAAGAAGAAAACAAGAGGTGGAGTGATCACGTACATCAACTCGACCTGGAGCGGTAAGTCTGAAATTCTTTTTGATTATTCCGCCGATGGCATCCACTGCTAGCTATTCAATGTTTTCCTAGATTTTCGCGACACAGAAGTACAGTCATTACCAACTTATACATAATCCCCTTTTGTACCCAGCCTCACATTTCATCTTTCTTTGATGCATTTATTCCGTCTTTCGTTCCCTTCATAGACGATAGTCTCCACATTATTGTTGGTGAATATAATCATACATCCACCACTCTCATAACTTCTTTTGGCTTAACTGATACTTGCTTGTCCCCCTTAAGAGGTGATTCATTTTTAGACAAGGTTATTACTAATCACCCAGAATATTTTGCCCTAAAACTCACAGCAACTATTTCCACTAGTGATCATGCACTGAT